ATTTTATTTGTGAGAAAACCAAAGATTTGTGGCAACACAGTATATAATTGTTAGAGCATAGCTTGTATTGAATGACATGCAACAGAATCGGTTTTTCCATGACTGTAGGAGGCATGAGAATGCAGCACACATTGGTAGATATTGAAATAAAAGTCAAGATTTTACTGAGTCTGAGCAGATAACGTATAAGATCCAACTGCGCCTTTTGATCAATGTCCAGGTACAGTTCCTTCATATGTAGATGAGCTTTTTGATCATTTCCCACCATCACAGATTTGGGGGCAATCAATTGAAAAACTCAACTGACAAACGTTTGTTACCAGTGCCAAGTGTGGAATGCTGTTGGATCCAATATAGTCACTTGGTATTTTTGGGTGAATGATTAGTTTTGTCAGCTGGTATAGCTCAGTTGGGAGAGCGTTAGACTGAAGATCTAAAGGTCCCTGGTTCAATCCCGGGTTTCAGCAAAGTCAATGGGTGGGAGAAACACTTTGGATTGGTTACAGTTTTGAAAAAAGACAATTTCTCATTTCAAATCAAGTAATACATTTCATGATTCCTTCAATGAAAATTTCAAAGAGAAATCTTGGACATCATTGATTGTCCTAGATATCAAAACAGGCAAAGGTTTCACTGAGATTTGAACTCAGATCGCTGGATTCAAAGTCCAGAGTACTGACCATTACACCATGAAACCCTATAACTTTGAGAGTATAGTGGAAAGAATACTAAATATGACTGGACTGCAATGTGCTTGTTCATAGATCCATAAATTGAGGACTTGGAACCATTCCCGCAGCAATCCCACAATGGTCAAAATATCAATCAGTGAAATACTAGCAACCATTTGCAAAGGGCAAAATTCTTGTGTAGAGACCATCACTTGCATTAAACAAAGTGGATATTTGTTAGACTGGAAGTTTGATTTGTGAATGTCAGCATCCGTTCTCATTCGATACAGTATTACGAAGAGCATAATAAGACCCTTGGTTCCATCTCCAAAATCAATTAATGCATTGCAAGAGGCAATCTATAATGTCCTAAGACATTTTTCAGAAACAAATGAAAAAACTTTCAAAGATTTGCAGAAAATATGAAATACTTAATGATTATAAATTTCCTCACCAATTGTCTTCTTGTGACAGAACACTTGAGAAGCATTTAACCAATTTGGTTCCACTGAGACTTGAACTCAGATCGCTGGATTCAGAGTCCAGAGTGCTAACTATTACACCATGGAACCGATGACACGCTGTATTTTAACCTTTTTGTCACGATTCTCACAATGATTTTATTTGTGAGAAACCAAATATTTGTGGCAACATGGTATATAATTGTTAGAGCATAGCTTGTATTGAATGACATGCAACAGAATCGGTTTTTCCATGACTGTAGGAGGCATGAGAATGCAACACACATTGGCAGATATTGAAAGAAAAGTTAAGATTTTAATGAGTCTGAGCAGATAACGTATAAGATCCAACTTCGCCTTTTGATCAATGTCCAGGTACAGTTCCTTCATATGTAGATGAGCTTTTTGATCATTTCCCACCATCACAGACTTGGAGGCAATCAATTGAGAAACTCAACTAAGTATGGAATGCTGTTGGATCCAATATAGTCACTTGGCATTTTTGGGTAAATGAATAGTTTTGTCAGCTGGAATAGCTCAGTTGGGAGAGCGTTAGACTTTAGATCTAAAGGTCCCTGGTTAAATCCCGGGTTTCAGCAAAGTCAATGGGTGGGAGAAACACTTTGGATTGGTTACAGCTTTTAAAAAAGACAATTTCTCATTTCATCATTTCAAATTAAGTAATACATTTCATGATTCCTTCAATGAAAATTTCAAAGAGAAATCTTGAACACCATTGATTGTCCTAGATATCAAAACAGGCAAAGGTTTCACTGAGATTTGAACTCAGATCGCTGGATTCAAAGTCCAGAGTGCTGACCTTTACACCATGAAACCCTAGAACTTTGAGAGTATAGTGGAAAGAATACTAAATATGACTGGACTGCAATGTGCTTCTTCATAGATCCATAAATTGAGGACTTGGAACCATTCCCGCAGCAATCCCACAATGGTCAAAATATCAATCAGTGAAATACTAGCAACCATTTGCAAAGGGTAAATTCTTGTGTAGAGACCATCACTTGCATTAAACAAAGTGGATATTTGCAAGACTGGAAGTTTGATTTGTGAATGTCAGCATCCGTTCTCATTCGATACAGTATTACGAAGAGCATAATAAGACCCTTGGTTCCATCTCCAAAATCAATTAATGCATTGCAAGAGGCAATCTATATTGTCCTAAGACATTTTTCAGAAACAAATAAAAAAACTTTCAAAGATTTGCAGAAAATATTCAATTCTTAATGATTATAAAATTCCTCACCAATTGTCTTCTTGTGACAGAACACTTGAGTAGCATTTAACCAATTTGGTTCCACTAAGACTTGAACTCAAATCGCTGGATTCAGAGTCCAGAGTGCTAACCATTACACCATGGAACCGATGACCCGCTGTATTTAAACCTTTTTGTCGCGATTCTCACAATGATTTTATTTGTGAGAAACCAAAGATTTGTGGCAACACGGTATATAATTGTTAGAGCATAGCTTGTATTGAATGACATGCAACAGAATCGGTTTTTCCATGACTCTAGGAGGCATGACAATGCAGCACACATTGGTAGATATTGAAATAAAAGTCAAGATTTTACTGAGTCTGAGCAGATAACGTATAAGATCCAACTGCGCCTTTTGATCAATGTCCAGGTACAGTTCCTTCATATGTAGATGAGCTTTTTGATCATTTCCCACCATCACAGATTTGGGGGCAATCAATTGAAAAACTCAGCTGACAAACGTTTGTTACCAGTGCCAAGTGTGGAATGCTGTTGGATCCAATATAGTCACTTGGCATTTTTGGGTGAATGATTAGTTTTGTCAGCTGGAATAGCTCAGTTGGGAGAGCGTTAGACTGAAGATCTAAAGGTCCCTGGTTCAATCCCGGGTTTCAGCAAAGTCAATGGGTGGGAGAAACACTTTGGATTGGTTACAGTTTTGAAAAAAGACAATTTCTCATTTCAAATCAAGTAATACATTTCATGATTCCTTCAATGAAAATTTCAAAGAGAAATCTTGGACATCATTGATTGTCCTAGATATCAAAACAGGCAAAGGTTTCACTGAGATTTGAACTCAGATCGCTGGATTCAAAGTCCAGAGTACTGACCATTACACCATGAAACCCTATAACTTTGAGAGTATAGTGGAAAGAATACTAAATATGACTGGACTGCAATGTGCTTGTTCATAGATCCATAAATTGAGGACTTGGAACCATTCCCGCAGCAATCCCACAATGGTCAAAATATCAATCAGTGAAATACTAGCAACCATTTGCAAAGGGCAAAATTCTTGTGTAGAGACCATCACTTGCATTAAACAAAGTGGATATTTGTTAGACTGGAAGTTTGATTTGTGAATGTCAGCATCCGTTCTCATTCGATACAGTATTACGAAGAGCATAATAAGACCCTTGGTTCCATCTCCAAAATCAATTAATGCATTGCAAGAGGCAATCTATAATGTCCTAAGACATTTTTCAGAAACAAATGAAAAAACTTTCAAAGATTTGCAGAAAATATGAAATACTTAATGATTATAAATTTCCTCACCAATTGTCTTCTTGTGACAGAACACTTGAGAAGCATTTAACCAATTTGGTTCCACTGAGACTTGAACTCAGATCGCTGGATTCAGAGTCCAGAGTGCTAACCATTACACCATGGAACCGATGACACGCTGTATTTTAACCTTTTTGTCACGATTCTCACAATGATTTTATTTGTGAGAAACCAAAGATTTGTGGCAACATGGTATATAATTGTTAGAGCATAGCTTGTATTGAATGACATGCAACAGAATCGGTTTTTCCATGACTGTAGGAGGCATGAGAATGCAACACACATTGGCAGATATTGAAAGAAAAGTTAAGATTTTACTGAGTCTGAGCAGATAACGTATAAGATCCAACTTCGCCTTTTGATCAATGTCCAGGTACAGTTCCTTCATATGTAGATGAGCTTTTTGATCATTTCCCACCATCACAGACTTGGAGGCAATCAATTGAGAAACTCAACTAAGTATGGAATGCTGTTGGATCCAATATAGTCACTTGGCATTTTTGGGTGAATGAATAGTTTTGTCAGCTGGTATAGCTCAGTTGGGAGAGCGTTGGACTTTAGATCTAAAGGTCCCTGGTTAAATCCCGGGTTTCAGCAAAGTCAATGGGTGGGAGAAACACTTTGGATTGGTTACAGCTTTTAAAAAAGACAATTTCTCATTTCATCATTTCAAATTAAGTAATACATTTCATGATTCCTTCAATGAAAATTTCAAAGAGAAATCTTGAACACCATTGATTGTCCTAGATATCAAAACAGGCAAAGGTTTCACTGAGATTAAAACTCAGATCGCTGGATTCAAAGTCCAGAGTGCTGACCTTTACACCATGAAACCCTAGAACTTTGAGAGTATAGTGGAAAGAATACTAAATATGACTGGACTGCAATGTGCTTGTTCATAGATCCATAAATTGAGGACTTGGAACCATTCCCGCAGCAATCCCACAATGGTCAAAATATCAATCAGTGAAATACTAGCAACCATTTGCAAAGGGTAAATTCTTGTGTAGAGACCATCACTTGCATTAAACATAGTGGATATTTGCAAGACTGGAAGTTTGATTTGTGAATGTCAGCATCCGTTCTCATTCGATACAGTATTACGAAGAGCATAATAAGACCCTTGGTTCCATCTCCAAAATCAATTAATGCATTGCAAGAGGCAATCTATATTGTCCTAAGACATTTTTCAGAAACAAATAAAAAAACTTTCAAAGATTTGCAGAAAATATTCAATTCTTAATGATTATAAAATTCCTCACCAATTGTCTTCTTGTGACAGAACACTTGAGTAGCATTTAACCAATTTGGTTCCACTAAGACTTGAACTCAAATCGCTGGATTCAGAGTCCAGAGTGCTAACCATTACACCATGGAACCGATGACCCGCTGTATTTAAACCTTTTTGTCGCGATTCTCACAATGATTTTATTTGTGAGAAACCAAAGATTTGTGGCAACACGGTATATAATTGTTAGAGCATAGCTTGTATTGAATGACATGCAACAGAATCGGTTTTTCCATGACTCTAGGAGGCATGACAATGCAGCACACATTGGTAGATATTGAAATAAAAGTCAAGATTTTACTGAGTCTGAGCAGATAACGTATAAGATCCAACTGCGCCTTTTGATCAATGTCCAGGTACAGTTCCTTCATATGTAGATGAGCTTTTTGATCATTTCCCACCATCACAGATTTGGGGGCAATCAATTGAAAAACTCAGCTGACAAACGTTTGTTACCAGTGCCAAGTGTGGAATGCTGTTGGATCCAATATAGTCACTTGGCATTTTTGGGTGAGTGATTAGTTTTGTCAGCTGGAATAGCTCAGTTGGGAGAGCGTTAGACTGAAGATCTAAAGGTCCCTGGTTCAATCCCGGGTTTCAGCAAAGTCAATGGGTGGGAGAAACACTTTGGATTGGTTACAGTTTTGAAAAAAGACAATTTCTCATTTCAAATCAAGTAATACATTTCATGATTCCTTCAATGAAAATTTCAAAGAGAAATCTTGGACATCATTGATTGTCCTAGATATCAAAACAGGCAAAGGTTTCACTGAGATTTGAACTCAGATCGCTGGATTCAAAGTCCAGAGTACTGACCATTACACCATGAAACCCTATAACTTTGAGAGTATAGTGGAAAGAATACTAAATATGACTGGACTGCAATGTGCTTGTTCATAGATCCATAAATTGAGGACTTGGAACCATTCCCGCAGCAATCCCACAATGGTCAAAATATCAATCAGTGAAATACTAGCAACCATTTGCAAAGGGCAAAATTCTTGTGTAGAGACCATCACTTGCATTAAACAAAGTGGATATTTGTTAGACTGGAAGTTTGATTTGTGAATGTCAGCATCCGTTCTCATTCGATACAGTATTACGAAGAGCATAATAAGACCCTTGGTTCCATCTCCAAAATCAATTAATGCATTGCAAGAGGCAATCTATAATGTCCTAAGACATTTTTCAGAAACAAATGAAAAAACTTTCAAAGATTTGCAGAAAATATGAAATACTTAATGATTATAAATTTCCTCACCAATTGTCTTCTTGTGACAGAACACTTGAGAAGCATTTAACCAATTTGGTTCCACTGAGACTTGAACTCAGATCGCTGGATTCAGAGTCCAGAGTGCTAACCATTACACCATGGAACCGATGACACGCTGTATTTTAACCTTTTTGTCACGATTCTCACAATGATTTTATTTGTGAGAAACCAAAGATTTGTGGCAACATGGTATATAATTGTTAGAGCATAGCTTGTATTGAATGACATGCAACAGAATCGGTTTTTCCATGACTGTAGGAGGCATGAGAATGCAACACACATTGGCAGATATTGAAAGAAAAGTTAAGATTTTACTGAGTCTGAGCAGATAACGTATAAGATCCAACTTCGCCTTTTGATCAATGTCCAGGTACAGTTCCTTCATATGTAGATGAGCTTTTTGATCATTTCCCACCATCACAGACTTGGAGGCAATCAATTGAGAAACTCAACTAAGTATGGAATGCTGTTGGATCCAATATAGTCACTTGGCATTTTTGGGTGAATGAATAGTTTTGTCAGCTGGTATAGCTCAGTTGGGAGAGCGTTAGACTTTAGATCTAAAGGTCCCTGGTTAAATCCCGGGTTTCAGCAAAGTCAATGGGTGGGAGAAACACTTTGGATTGGTTACAGCTTTTAAAAAAGACAATTTCTCATTTCATCATTTCAAATTAAGTAATACATTTCATGATTCCTTCAATGAAAATTTCAAAGAGAAATCTTGAACACCATTGATTGTCCTAGATATCAAAACAGGCAAAGGTTTCACTGAGATTAAAACTCAGATCGCTGGATTCAAAGTCCAGAGTGCTGACCTTTACACCATGAAACCCTAGAACTTTGAGAGTATAGTGGAAAGAATACTAAATATGACTGGACTGCAATGTGCTTGTTCATAGATCCATAAATTGAGGACTTGGAACCATTCCCGCAGCAATCCCACAATGGTCAAAATATCAATCAGTGAAATACTAGCAACCATTTGCAAAGGGTAAATTCTTGTGTAGAGACCATCACTTGCATTAAACATAGTGGATATTTGCAAGACTGGAAGTTTGATTTGTGAATGTCAGCATCCGTTCTCATTCGATACAGTATTACGAAGAGCATAATAAGACCCTTGGTTCCATCTCCAAAATCAATTAATGCATTGCAAGAGGCAATCTATATTGTCCTAAGACATTTTTCAGAAACAAATAAAAAAACTTTCAAAGATTTGCAGAGAATATGAAATACTAAATGATTATAAATTTCCTCACCAATTGTCTTCTTGTGACAGAACACTTGAAAAGCATTTAACCAATTTGGTTCCACTGAGACTTGAACTCAGATCACTGGATTCAGAGTCCAGAGTGCTAACCATTACACCATGGAACCGATGACCCGCTGTATTTAAACCTTTTTGTCGCGATTCTCACAATGATTTTATTTGTGAGAAACCAAAGATTTGTGGCAACACGGTATATAATTGTTAGAGCATAGCTTGTATTGAATGACATGCAACAGAATCGGTTTTTCCATGACTGTAGGAGGCATGACAATGCAGCACACATTGGTAGATATTGAAATAAAAGTCAAGATTTTACTGAGTCTGAGCAGATAACGTATAAGATCCAACTGCGCCTTTTGATCAATGTCCAGGTACAGTTCCTTCATATGTAGATGAGCTTTTTGATCATTTCCCACCATCACAGACTTGGAGGCAATCAATTGAAAAACTCAACTGACAAACGTTTGTTACCAGTGCCAAGTGTGGAATGCTGTTGGATCCAATATAGTCACTTGGCATTTTTGGGTGAATGACAGTTTTGTCAGCTGGAATAGCTCAGTTGGGAGAGCGTTAGACTGAAGACCTAAAGGTCCCTGGTTCAATCCTGGGTTTCAGCAAAGTAAATGAGTGGGAGAAACACTTTGAATTGGTTAGCATTTTGAAAAAAGACAATTTCTCATTTCATCATTTCAAATCAAGTAATACATTTCATGATTCCTTCAATGAAAATTTCAAAGAGAAATCTTGTACACCACTGATTGTCCTAGATTTCAAAACAGGCAAAGGTTTCACTGAGATTTGAACTCAGATCGCTGGATTCAAAGTCCAGAGTGCTGACCATTACAACATGAAACCCTAGAACTTTGAGAGTATAGTGGAAAGAATACTAAATATGACTGGACTGCAATGTGCTTGTTCATAGATCCATAAATTGAGGACTTGGAACCATTCCCGCAGCAATCCCACAATGGTCAAAATATCAATCAGTGAAATACTAGCAACCATTTGCAAAGGGCAAAATTCTTGTGTAGAGCACCATCACTTGCATTAAACAAAGTGGATATTTGCAAGTTTGGAAGTTTGATTTGTGGATGTCAGCATCCGTTCTCATTCGATACAGTATTACGAAGAGCATAATTAGAGCCTTGGTTCCATCTCCAAAATCAATTAATGCATTGCAAGAGGCAATCAATAATGTCCTAAGACATTTTTCAGAAACAAATGAAAAAAACTTTCAAAGATTTGCTGAGAATATGAAATACTTAATGATTATAAATTTCCTCACCAATTGTCTTCTTGTGACAGAACACTTGAAAAGCATTTAACCTATTTGGTTCCTCTGAGACTTGAACTCAGAACGGAGGATTCAGAGTCCAGAGTGCTAACCATTACACCATGGAACCGATGACCTGCTGTATTTTAACCTTTTTGTCACGATTCTCACAATGATTTTATTTGTGAGAAACCAAAGATTTGTGGCAACACGGTATATAATTGTTAGAGCATAGCTTGTATTGAATGACACGCAACAGAATCGGTTTTTCCATGACTGTAGGAGGCATGAGAATGCAACACACATTGGTAGATATTGAAAGGAAAGTTAAGATTTTTCTGAGTCTGAGCAGATAACGTATAAGATCCAACTGCGCCTTTTGATCAATGTCCAGGTACAGTTCCTTCATATGTAGATGAGCTTTTTGATCATTTCCCACCATCACAGACTTGGAGGCAATCAATTGAAAAACTCAACTGACAAACGTTTTTTACCAGTGCCAAGTGTGGAATGCTGTTGGATCCAATATAGTCACTTGGCATTTTTGCAAGTGGTGCTCGCTGCAGAACCACAAAGGCGGAGCTGCACCAGAAGGTGGAGCTGCACCAGAGTCAGCCCCGCCCATTCCAGAATCAGCCCCGCCCATTCCATCAGAGTCAGTCCAATTCCTTCCAGTTGTCAGACTTGATAGCATTCTGGAATCAAAGAGGGTGTTATAGCTAAAAAATGCAAGATTGAGGACGGAGTTGAGAAGTTAATTGAGCAGTTTTTGTAAAGGTTCCATATAATTAAAAATCTAACTTTTGCAACTTTTAATCATGTTATATTGTCATTTCCTCATAAGAAACACGCCAAAGCCATTTTTAGCCTCATTCATGCATTTTCCTCCCATCTCAGCTTCAATTTGGTCTCCTCCCCCGAAGCGGGTCTGGTCTTGGTTCTCAAATCTGGATATTCTGTGAATTTTCTGACAAATTATTTCTGAAATGACTTCTGCTGAGACACCGCCAATAAACCATACATCCCCATCTCAGAGACACACTTGGATGCACAATTAGACGTAACGCCGCATGAGTTATAACAGATGTGCTGGTGTAGTGGTTATGGAATCATGTTGACATGCAGTTTTGCGCAGGTTCGCCTCCCATTAGTGTAAGTTTTAGGTAGTGTACAACCTCTTTTCTTCATTTCTAGCTACACTTGCCAGTACTATGTTTACAACAATTTACTGATATACCGTTTAACATATAATGATTAATGTGTTTTTTTATTTATT